TCGTCCTGAATATGCATTTAATTTGCCACTGGACGTTAAAACATACATCCATCCATCCATCAAATGAAGTGGATATATAACGTACAATGAGGATAAAAAAAACACCCATACCGTTAAGTCGGCTATAAAGCTTAAGGACCCCGACATGAAGATTAGAAACAATTTAAATGAGAAGAGAAAAAACTACTGAACTACAGGCTCTGAACTGGAACAGGCACAACAAAAAATGTGGCGTGGTTAAACATGTTTGTGAGAGCTCAATCCTTCCCTTAACTGGGACAGTGTCGTAACAGCACAACATGAGAACAAGCTGTAAACATCAGTTGCAATTGGCTGAACTCAATAAATACAAAAATTGTATAAGATTACTCGCAGCTACTGAAAGCTAGTTCAAAGCCAATTACAACTAATGAATAAATCATATTCTCCAAGACGAAAGTACCAATCAGTGCACATCTAACGGATGAAGTGTAAACACGTCATAAACAGTCTGAGAAAAGCATGACATTTAAGGAATTACTGTAATATTTTTTATGTTATTTCGAATAGACAGAAAAAAATATTACAGTCATTTCTTATAATTTAATTCTAAATTCCATTTTAAACCGGAGTAAACCATGAAAAAACGTTGATGACGTCACGGTCACATGACACAATTATGTCTATGAGCTGATAAACAAAACAACGTCAGCCAATCAGAAGACGCGTTAAATCCAAAATTAAGTTATTACGCAATGCCGAAAACAACAACAACAACAAAAAAACCAGTATAGACAAGATGTAGGAGCATGAGTTCTCATAAATGTACATAAATATAGCAATATCTATAATTTAGTTATGTTTAAATTTAAAAAAAAAACCAATATTAGTGAAAAAAATAATAACCTTGAAATTAAGTCGTAGCCGGTAATATGATTAAATTTTGTAACATTTTCCTTTGATAAAGTTAGAAATTATTAAAAAAAAAATAACCAACTAAAGTTCCAACTCCCTCTGGCAGCGCTAACTTTTGATGGTTCTAGTTATTCTTTTCAATGTAGTCATTTCACTGCCACACTAATTCAATACTTTGCCACAGTATTTTTTGGGTATACAAAAAACAACTGTACCGCCTATGACGTCCACAATGAAGGAACGTCACGGAGAGGGGCACAGATGGAGGTGTGCACAGAACATCAAGTATTTTTGGTGTTTTTAAGATTTTGATCCGAAGCGCAGCAGATGAAATGCGAGTCCTACGTATTTGAGGGGTTCCGTAGTAATTTCAAGCGATACATTTATGATTTGAAATGATTTCAAATTTAACCTAGTAATGAATTAGCTTTCTGTACCGGCGTGCGAGTACTCTCATGTCTATACCTTTTGTGTTTTTGATAGTCGTTTTTGTGCTTGGTATCGATCTCTTTTCAAGTGATACGGGAGACAGATTTATAAAATCCCGCTAACATGTTTAACCCCGCTACATTCTGTATGTATGTGCCTGTCCCAAATCGGGAGCCTGTAATTCAGTGGTTGTCGTTTGTTGCTGTTTAACATATTTGTTTTCCGTTCATTTTTTTGTACATAAATTAGACCGTTAGTTTTCTCGTTTGAATTGTTTAACATTTGTCATTTCGGGGCCTTTTATAGCTGACTAATATATGCGGTATGAGCTTTGCTCATTGTTGAAGGCCGTACGGTGACCTATAGTTGTTAATTTCTGTGTCATTTGGTCTCTTGTGAAGAGTTGTCTCATTGGCAATCATACCACATCTTCTTTTTTATATTATAAAAGTTTTTTTCAACTTTTCCGAATCCCATATTTGAATTTTAGGAAAATTGTACTACAGTAACTGCAGGGTTACAATTTTCCAATAATAACTACGGTTTAAACCAAGTGATTTTTATAATTTGTTCTTATGGTGTGATGTTAATACACCACTGTCACAGGTTAGAGGAGGGTTGGTACCCACAAACATTTTTAACCCCTTTTCATTCTATATTTGCCTGTCCTAATTCAGGAGCCTACATGCAATTGAGTGGTTGGCGTTTGTTGCTGTTTATAATACTTTTTTTGTCGTCTATTGTTTTGTGCATAAATCCGGCCGTTAGATTTCTCGTTTGAATTGTTTGCATTTGTCATTTCACGGTATGGGTTATGCTCATTATTGAAGGCCAAACGGTGACCTTTAGTTGCTTACTTCTACGTCATTTGGTTCTTGTGGGGAGTTGTTGCATTTATGGGTAATTGATAGTCATACCACATATTCTAATTTTTATCTCTTGTGTACATTCAGAAAGAACGATTATTTTATGCAAATCTGTGATCTCTTAAAAGTTAGTTAGAGTTTCAACAGTTGGTCATCGGATTCACAGTATGAACATTTTGAAAGTAAGATTGACCCGGCAGAAATTGAAATAAATTATTTCGAATACACGACATGTACAACATTTAGTTTAAACCATGGTAGAATAATTCTATTGAACATATATCATACAGTTAACATGAACCACCATGATAAAACAGTTTGATGGACTGCGATTGTGGACTTTCAGGATTTCTCTCATTCTGTCAATAAACAACTCGCCAAATATTTAGAGACCCATTTTAAAAATTCTTTGATTGAAAAAATACGGGTATCAATGTGTTTGGAGGGTGTTAAATTTGAAGATATAAAATTTAAAAGTAGATAACTGGTATCTTCCGCCATCTCGGATTGTAAAATACTAGAAAACAATCGGTCTAGATCTTTAATGAAATGATATGTATTTTAAATGAGGAATGCAATTCATTTATAAGACTTTTCATCTAACTGAAGATAATTGTAGTTATTTGTTTTATTGTATTATTCCGATTATTTAAAAAAATTGCAAAACCTGCAGCTTGATAAATATCTCCGTGACCTCACTTTTTATTAGGCTATAGTTTTAAAAACCACACGAGTCTTCATTTAATCAAAGTAAGAATACATTATTGTATCTTTTTTTTATTATTTAAACCCCTCCTCTACATTACTTGAATAGTTACAGTATGGAGGGTGGTAAAGGGTTATTTTCGTGCAACGTGATCGCCGTTTTTTATTTCACGTTCAACGTGTTTTTACTTTTTTATTTAACGTTCAGCCGTGCAAGACAGGTGCCTCGTTCAACGTGTTCTGTTTATTTAATTTTACGTGCATCATTATTTTCAAATGCTTATTTTGCGTGCTCGGTATTTTTCAAATAAAATTCAAATACTTGGCAGGGATCGTCAAGAAATATTTTTTTAAAAGCCGTAAACCATTTACATCATAAATGTGTATACTAAATCGGGAATAACAAGTAAAACAGAAAGTTTATATATACAAGAAGACAGTGACTCAGTCACAAAAGGTACACAACAGTCTTTATTTTTCGTGCAACGTTCATGACAGAAATTATTTCACGTTCAACGTGAAATTATGTCTTATTCAACGTTTTTTCCGTGCAAGCATCCTCCCTTTACCACCCTCGTTATGAATACTGAGTTGTCCTGTTTGCTTCTGTCACATTTTTCATGAGACGGCCATTCTTTTACGATGTTTTCTACAGTTTACGATGCTGTCTACAGTTATGACGTCATATTTTAGCATTACGTCAAAAACATATGACGACAGCAATGGCAAGTCTGTCCCCTGCAATAAACAGAAATCTTCCTGAATTGAAACCCCGTTTCGAGCCTCAATGTATTGTCCTTACCCATCTGTGACGTAACGTGTATTGTTACAAAACAGACGACATAGGCAACCGTTGCCAAGCCTAAATATAGACCGTTGGCATTTGAAAGGAGTACAGAAAGCCTAAATATAGGCTTAACGGCATAGTAAGGGTTAAAATATTTCCCCTAGTACTTGTGCATCATTGGGTTTCAAACTTTTGGTTTTGAACGTTCTTATTGAAGGTTAATTCAGAACTGAGATTCGGACGCACCAAATTCCTGAAGTGTTATTGTCATTATTCAGGCCTCGGTGGTTGAGAGGTAAAAGTAGTTCAACTACGGTATCACTAGTCTGTCAACACTGAGGTTGTGAGTTCAAATCCCGCACGTGCCCTCGACTTCAAGCTTAATTGACTAGGATTGTCAGTTTTCCTGCCGAAGGTCGGTGGTTCTCTCCGGCTTCCTCCACTAATAAAAACATACCGCCACGAAAAAGCACAATAGTCCTGAAAGTGGCGTTAAACACCAATCAATCATTCATTATTCAGGAGTCTTTATGTAGCCTAAATACGGTATAAATTTTGCACATCAGTGACATGTAGCTGTTTTCTACATCTTCGTCCTTTTTATGACTGTGTTTGATAGTTATCTGATTGACAACCATACCATATCTCCTTGATTTAGATATTAAGGTATTTAAACGTTTAAAAAAATCATTCATAAAATTAGATTTGAAGACATTTAATAATCATGCAATATTTGAGATCTGGATTAATAGAATTGAGAATGGAAACATTAAAGTATTTAAATTATCAGAACTATTGGAAATTAGGAGATATGAATTATTAATTGTATGTGGTATTTATTTAAACATAAAATTAAACAAAATGAAGCAGTCAAGGAGATTATTCCACAGGGTAAATATGTATCTGTGTTCGAAACAACTGACAGAATCCTATAAATGAAAAATCAACAGGACAATTTTAACTAGCATTCGGTTACTCCTGGCTTAGTGTTTAAAGTTTCTTAAATTAAGAAGTAGGCTTACCAAGTACTAGTATCTATTGTTTTCTTTAAGATAAAAAAAAATCAGTCACTGGTTTAAATTATTTAACATTTACTAACTAAAATAAATGAAATGTCTTGAATTTAGAATAGGTTTATTTGTATATTACATTTGAATAGAAACAAACAAGATCCCCGGCACCACTTGAGTTTGTAGACATTATTTCCGATATTTCATTATTATTTTAGTAATTAATTAGCGGACATGACAAAGGAAGTAAACATACCTGTAATTTATTGATTCCAAATAACCAGGTAAAATTATTGAAAGACTGCATGATAGATGTGCTATTTCAGCGTTCGAAATCGGATTAAGGATATTGAAAACTTACCAGAATTTTCCGGCTTTGAAGAGTTGACAGTAGGAGTCGGACCTCTCCATGTAATGTGATTTATAATATCAACAAATGAATTCTATCCTTGACTTGAAAATCTGTTTAGAACCACTAGTTTTCGGACTTAATAGTCTCCATGTACAAAAGGCGGACTATGGATAGATGGAGTCAATGTTGAAGTCAAAAGAATATTTACTCTGTATATACACCTGCTTCTTATATTTCTGCAATGCACAGTACACTACACATTTTGGTGAGTACATTGATTTATTTATTTAAAAAAAAATCACTCATCAGTTTTGAATTGTTTTAATTCAACAGTTGATGGTCGAAATATTTCGAAAACATTTTCAAACAATATTTCGATTAAGCTTATACATTTGACTAGACGGCACAATATTTGTATATTTCAAACAAGTAAGACAATATTTTATAGATGTCAAGACCGACAGGTTTTGTGTATAAAACTAGTACAGTAATTTAGTCATTTTGTCCTTGAATATTTCAAATCAAGCATAATATGGTATATATTTTTGAAATAAATTTATTCTTAGAATTTAATTACCCGTTTATATATTTCAAATTGTAAATATTTTTGAGTTTTTTGTATATTATAAGTTAAATCTGTCCTTCCATAAACTACAATATTCTCGTGTATTATTCAATCTTTTGAACCAATCTCCACATTTGACTGTTCTCCTTTGTCCTATGACCACAATTATGATGGAAATATATCTACTTGTATGTGTTACTTGATACTTCTCTATATTGTTTATGGGAATGACAGTTGTTTAGTTTTGCTTTTACGATCAAATCTGTATTGCTGATAAACAGTTTTGTATTTCGTAATTCTGAAGAAAAAAAATCTGAGCAAATTTATGTTGTTTTTGCTTATTAGACTACACGTGTAGCAATATATACCATCTTATTGTAATGTTTTCTAAAAGTGACTTTTATTTATTTGTGGTATACCGAAGGTTTATTCGATTTCCAAATTACATGATACAAATATCGGTTAAAATATCAATATAGCTTATGTTATGTCCTTGTTTTGTAAAAAATGCTGACTTTTGAATTACATAAAGCTTTTATTTATTTATTTATTAATTATTATAAAAGGGAAAAGTGAAAAGGCATTTGTTTCTATTTTTATATAAATTACATGAATATATGTAAATTATGATTATATGTTTTGTGTACTGTTGTTTGTCTTTTCGTCATTTTTTTCGATTTTTGCCATTCATTTGCATTGTCAGTTCGTTTTCGACTTATGAGCTTGAATATCCTTTTGGTACAATTTTTGTATTTTTCGTCTCTCTTTTGCGAGTGTAGTAATATGTTTTGAGCTTTTCGTACCCGTGTGTTAAATTTAAAGTTTTTTTTCCAACTCAACACCTTATAATAAACAATAAACCTTGTCGTATAAAAAATAACAATTATTTAATTGTTTTGCTTATAAAATATAATACTTAATATTCCATGCTTATCATTATCAGAAATAGATTACTTGATTATACGACATATTCCTTGCTGATGATATCAATTCCACTTAACAAATGTATCAAGCACATTACTATCACAAGTTATTAAAAAGTGTCAACACAACTCAATTAATAATCAGTAATATCATCAGAGTTTTTTTTTATTTACGAAGATTCTAGAATAGTTTACGGGACAAACAATAATATGGTTCAAGTTAGTATTACAGCTGTAAAAAAATTACCTTGAGCGGAAGGTTATTTCCCTAGGGACCAGACAATTTTTTTTTGATGAATAGAAAATCCGATTATTTTAAACATGCATAGCATTATTGTTAAGAAGAAAGTATAGGGTACAATATCCTTTGATTTGTTTTCGAAATCTGATATATATTTCATTCAATTGAATCGATACTGAGGGAAATTTTCAACCGAAAAAAGCCTAAACAAATATGTTTTGAATCACAATTATAAATGTAATTTACACCAATATGACCCCCTCCAAATCCCAAACAACAACACAATTTTTTAAATCCTATAGTTAAATCAGATTCTATTTCTACCTACTCAACCTTTAAATACTGAGTACAATAAAAATGTCAATCACAATATTTTGCTGAACATTAGGTACAATACTACGAGATATGTTGAACCTCAAGGGTAATCTGATAGGCACATGTATTCCCTTAAGACAATGTTAAAAGGTCAATACTGTTCAATTGCAAAAAAAATACGACATCCATTATGACATTAAGTTTCCAAATAAGACATTGCTTTTACCACTTTCATGGCCTGTGATGAATCTATTTGAAATACTGCTAAAAAGGCTTAAGACAAAACCAAAACAAGTTTCGCTTGAATGTCAATGTAGTAAAGAGTACAAAGGTAAAAATCATATTGTCTTATTAACAAATCAAAATGTGTACGTTAGGTGAACAAATATAGAATTTTATACCCCAAGGTTATATGAAAAAGTGGATAATGACATTTGATGTCACCGTCAAAGATCAATGTCACAGAAAAGTAGACCATTAGCATGGCACGCAATCTGAAGGTGATACATGCAACTGGATATATTTCAGATGTAATGGCGTCCGATGTGAATGGACGTACATTTAAAGACGACAGGTGTTGAATTGTCTGATACTAGTAAAAATTCTGATGTAGGATCTGATAAAAGTGGTAACGTAGATTCATTTTACAATATGAATGACACTTTCAAGCAATATTCCCCACAGAATAGTCAGATAGTGCATATATTAACAGATATTGGCACCCCTGTCCTCCAAATTGTAAACAATGATGACTCTATTGTTGATAGCCAAGATTTTCAAGACAGTAGGCAAGGGACACTTTTTGTACCGAACCAAGATTTTATTGCAATTTTAGACCAAGAATTGATAGATCTTCATAGAGACTCATATACTGCAAAATTAATTGAATTACTAAATGACTCTGATGATACTATAACATGGTATAGAATTATGTTAACTAGTCGATCTAAGTACAAGGAAAAGTACAAACAAGGGTTCATCCTCACAAAAGTATGCAAAAGACTGTTAATTATTACATCAGTTTATTTCTGGCGACCCATCTAGCATTGAAGAAATTTTTCGTAAGGACGAACCAAAATCCGTTAGCGAGCATATCACGATGCCGCTGAATTGTCATTGTTTTGAATTAAAGACAATGATTCATATGACTATTGATAGGTTAAACGAAGTAGAAAAGTTAGGGGAAGAAAACCGTAAAGTGATTGAGAATGTGTGTATGAAAATAAAGAGTGTAGTACTCCTGAGTCTGTAGCAAACTGTTTCGCCGAATATTTCCATGATCTATACCAACCAAAGGACGATGATAATTTTGACAATGCATTTAATGTCAAAAATGATGTGTTTGAGCTTTTGATTTTGCCATTTAATTATGACGTATATCCAGAAATTGACTACGAGGGTCGGTTGAAAACAAAACTTTACGACAAAAGAGATGATTTCAGCTTCCCAATTGTGAATTTTCATTTTTAAACCAAGAGTTCCAAATGGTGAAGTTGAAATCATCACTTTGTAAATTTTACGGACGCCATCACGAGTTGGTTGACCGTTATGGAATATCCATTTCACAGATGATATAGGATATGTTCCTTTTGTCGTAACTACAATCCCGTTCCCTTTTCACGAATGTCACCTACCGAATTAGACTATTTACCCCTATTTGTGACATTTTTACCTATTGTTTTTTTTTTTGTTTTGTTCACACATCGTTGTCAATATAATGGAATTTGATGCGACTGTCATACAAGTGAGAGGTTTAGCTAGCTTTAAAACCAGGTTCAATCCACCATTTTCTACATAAGAAAATGCCTGTACCAAGTCAGGAATATGACAGTTGTTATCCATTCGTTTGATGTGTTTGTTTGTTTTATTTTTTGTTTGTTTTTTGTTTTTTTTTTATTTTGCCATTTGATTGGGGACTTTTTGAATTTTCCTCGGAGTTCAGTATTTTTGTGATTTTAATGTCAATTTTTGAATTTTCCTCGGAGTTCAGTATTTTTGTGATTTTACTTTTTATCTTTTAAATGTTCTATTGAGAGCACGTACAATGGCATTATTAAAACCTAAGGAAGGAGAATACTTACCTTGTGGTTTGATAACTGAACAAGAAGTTTCTGAATTGATAGGGCAGTTAAAATATAGAAAAGCCGCCGGACATGACAGAGTTCAAAATGAACATTTGCGTCACGGAGGTATCTCTGTTGTGAAGTGTTTAACCGCATTATTCAATATCATCGTCAAACACAGGCGAATACCGAAGAACTGGAAACTATGCCTCCCTGTTCCTATCTTCAAAGGTGGAACCAAGTGCAAGACTTCGCCTGATAATTATAGAGCAGTTAGTTTACTGTCCTGTGTTTTGAAATTATTTGAAAGCGTCATTAAAGCTCGGTTAATACGTTTTGTGCTATATAACAAAAACATTCCGAATCTCTAACAGGAAGGATTTCAAAAGTACCTTAGTTACTGAACTCCATCATTTAACTTACATGAGACAATTTATCATAACCTTGAAATATTCAATAAAATATTTTTCGTTTTTTAAGTGAGTAAAAAAGCTTTTGATACTGTTTTGAGAATTGTATAAAATGGGGGTAACAGGTAAAATATGGTTAGTTATAAATGACTGTCATATTGATACCATGAGTTCAGTAGTTGTAAACCAGTGTCATTCTGAGTTCTTTCCTGTATTACAAGGTGTAAGACAAGGAGGGGTATTGTCTGGTTTATTATATTTAGCATTTATAAACGAATTGTTGGTAGAACTTGAAAAATGTAACCAGAAAACAAGTGTATATCATATAGCTAGTTGCTCTCCTGCTCTCCCTGACGACATTTCATGTATTGGTACAACCCCTTCAGGTCTTCAGCGAATGTTAGATACAGTTTCCGAAACTTAATCACATGAACATTATTCTTTACGATGAGAGACTGCACTGCTGATGACTGATCTTTACATTTCCCTTATAGTAGAATTTTTTCCCATAGAACAGACCTTGTATTAGTTACCCAAAATCTCAAGATCCCGACGAGGAAATGCATTACATCGACCACCGAAAGCTATATTTTTATGTAGCCTAGGTGGTCGAAGGGCACTGGACACGGTGCAGGCGGTGTTGCCACGATGTCACAGACGCAAGGGTTCGAATCCCGCCGAGGAAAGAACAAGAAGATCTAACATTGTTGGGCTAAATTTACGACGAATTATATATATATATTTCATT